GGTGTTGACTGTCTGGATCTTTTTCTTCCCATTCAGCTGAATGACATTTCACAGTCATTGCTGTAGGTCTTAGTGATATGAATGAACAAGTGAATGCCTCATTCACTCCTGGCATATAGCTTGATGTCATCCATGTGATGAGTGGGAGATAGCTAACATTTCCTCTATTTCGTAGTCTTGTTGATGTCCTGGCTGAGAGGGTTCATCTCTTTGAATAATCCTGCACTTCATGCTGGTTGTGCCACTGGCTTGAAGTTGCCCCCATTGAATTGCTGATGAAGTTCTAGGCATTCCAGGATCCATGTGTGATGCACTGAGTTTGCTTTCTTATAATCAATCAAGGCAGTGCTCAGGTTCTTCAGTTTGTCAGTCTTGAATGACTGGTGTTTGGCCCCATTCAGTGTTTCTGCTTATTCCCTTCTGGATCCTGCTCATGTTTTGAACCATGTGCCTGTTTGTCTTAGCTGCTATGATGACTGATAGGAGCTTTCATGTTTTGGGTTTGAGGAAGGTCATTGACCGGTAGTTGGATGGGTCCCTTCTGAAGATCCTTGGGTGATCACGACTGTCCAGTCTTCAATTAGCCATCCTTGGTGTGTCTAATCTTTTAGTAGCTAGTTCATTTGTGCGACACTCATGGAGAGCAGTTAGCTTCTTTAGCCAATTTCCTGACATGACTCATATCAGGAAATGATGCTGTCCAACTCTTCATACTTGAGACTTTCTTAGACGTCTGACAGTGCGATAGTAACTGAGGTCTGTTCAGGGAGGTTACTGGAGTTTGCTCTTAGCTCCACCAACCATATGTGTGTTGCATCCTTGTCCCATATAATCCTCAGTAGCGCTCTGACTCCAGCTTTGGTAGGGATGTTCTCATATTGTTCCCCTGCCAATGAGATACTGCGAGTCTTTGCTTGGCAGTTTCCAAGGCCTCATGTATGTCCAACTTACTGTACTTCTTAGGAGGGAATCTGAGAGTGTAGAGATGTTATCTCCTCCCTGACCTGATGTCCTGGCTCCCCTTTGCCGTGGCATTTGTCCTTACTAAATCTCTAGTTGTGTTAGCAGTTGCTTCTTAAGGATGTTGAAACACTGAGCTACTAGCTGCTTTGCGGTTAGTCCAGATTTTAGGTTTCGATGTATCCGTAGGTCCCACATCCTCTTTATGCAACTCCATCTGCAGGGATTACTTCTATAGTAGCATCCCAACAACGCCCTGTATAATTTTGTGTTGTTTTATTTAGTCATATATGAATAATTAATTGAAACACACACCAACACACAAATATAAATATTTATGCTTTGTTGTCTTGTTGTATGGTAAAGACTGCCCAAGAAGTTGATTTGGTGTGGATGAGTGAAAGTCTGATATTTTAGTCTGTTACTTAGCAGATATGTGTCTTTGCTTTGCACCCATACAGTTTGGGAGCTCACTAACCTTAGCTGATAACGGAGCACAGCACCATCTCTAAATATGCTCACTAGCTCCAAAACTAACATGATAGCATGACATGACTAATGTGGCCAAAAGTCTAATGTTGAGTCTTAAATGCAGAGCAATCTACAGCCATCCTTTGTATGCAGTGTGTGATATTTGGCAGCAAAGAAACAGGTGAAAAATAGAGACATTGACAGTTACAGCCAACAAGGAGGATGTCTTTTGGAACAGAGCTTGGGTCTCCTGGGCCAGAAACACCTGGTAACCTGAGAGAGGTAAGCCGTCCCAAAGACGGACTTCAACTTAGCCGCCTGGGACTGCAGCCTCAGTGAGCTCAGCATGTTATTTGCAGTGTGCTGCAGCTCCCAGCCTTTACACATAAAGCAATACAGGGACTACTGTTCCCAGCTGCAGTCCAAGATAGTGCCTTTCAAGTCTGACTATCAGTGGGATGAGCCTGCAGGTAGCAAAAACATAAAAGGGCTAGGCCAGCGCTGGCTGTTTATCAAAACCGAAACTTTAAAATTGAAAAACTTGATTAGACCAGAGCTCTCCAGCCTTTTTTGCGCCACGGACCAGTTTATGTCCGACAATATTTCCACAGACCGGCCTTTAAGGTGTCGCAGATAAATACAACAAAATAAAACCAGGACTGGTACCAAAAAAAGATTTATTCATAACACACAGGAAAAGACCCAGGGAAGCCGAGTTAACGATAAAAACGATAAAAATAATCATAGAACCGATAAAAACCCTGAAAACCATAAATTTCACACTAGAGCCTCAACTTTCGCATGTGACAAGAAATAACTCCAATAATCCAAAAACCTGCTGTAATTTTCTCTTCTTCACAATGCAGGAGTTCACACACACACTGTTAAATTAAAAAGCCAATGTATAATAAAAGCGAACTCTCTCACTATCACCTCTAGGTGTCGCTAGTTATGTTTAACGTAATCTGTCTTACCATCAGTTTTTCTGCATCAGCGCGGACTTTGAGGAGCTCTGTGATGGCATCCACAAACCCTTGGTGGTGAAAATTGCACATCTTTTCAATCTCACGGTCATGATTCCTGATCCTGGCATCAAGCTTTTCCATGAAGCGCTTGTGGGCATTGGGTTGGTCATCATAAATAGACCTGAAAGAGGAGTAGATGGGTAACAGTTTAACAAACAGCAGAAGAAAGACGATAAACCATGAACAGAAAAATGAAAAAACAAACAAACCCTTTCTTATGTATGTGCCAGTCTAGCTCAGCAGGCGACCACGTGGCTGAAACGCAGCGGTGCGAGTCCGATCAGTGGCCCTGTGCTGCATGTGCTCAAACCCCGGCCTCTCTCCACTAACCAATAAATGCAAACTTTGCATGGTTTTACTTGAAAAATTGTACTCGTCCACTGACAAAACTCACATAAAATGATAAAACCTGCACAGCTTTCTCAGGTCAACAGAGTCGCTCATCTTTCAGCTTCTGTCTTTTGTTCAAACGTGAATGAAATTACAAACAATGTTGGATTTTTACACATTGGTCATCTTGACCATATCTACATAATTAGGTGCACTGATTTGCTGCTATTCCATTTTTATTTATATCCTTAGAAGTATATATTT